AAAAAATCCCAAAACTTTCACCATGAGAAACATTGTTTTTCAAGAGCCGGAGATTTACGAGAACTATGATCCAGTGAGACGCCTCGGTAAAATGTGGGATTCAATTCGGGTTCCAATAATCGTCCCCCTTTTGCGCTTTGCGGTTTATCTATGTCTGGGTATGTCCATCATGCTTTTCCTTGAAAGGGTATACATGGCAATTGTGATTGTCTTTGTCAGAATTCTAAGGAAGAAGAAGTACACCAAGTACCAGCTAGACGCCATAAAGGAAGATCTCGAGATCAACAGGAACTACCCCATGGTGTTAGTTCAGATCCCTATGTTTAACGAGAAGGAGGTAAAAACACTGAACTATCTTCATTAAGGTACCTCACTTGTTATAGTGAACATTTTCTGGAAAGGTACAAGATTAAATCGTGAAATTGTATTCCAGAAGTAGAAAACCACATCATGACAGTGGTAATTTGAAGAAAAAAAAAATGTACTACCACATGCAGGTTAAAAGTCAGAAATAACAATATGGGGCAGAAGAAATTAATCTAATGGATACATATAAGAAACGGAACTAAGGTGCTGTTAGATCTTATGCTTAATAGACTGAGTCACTGAGGGGTTCAAAAGTACAGAGTATAAACAAAAGCCTCTTCAGATCTGAGGTACACAAATTAGGTAGTAATCAAAAACCTTCTCTTTATGCCTTCTTAGGTTTATAAGCTATCCATTGGAGCAGTATGTAGCCTATCATGGCCATCGGATCGGCTCATCGTGCAGGTTCTTGATGACTCAACCAATGAAGAACTAAGGGTATCCTTTCTTCTCGAAGAACTATTATAGCTTTACCGTCTAAGTCATACATAACTATATCAGTAAACCAGACAGTTTATTTTGCAGCGCTTGGTGGAATTGGAATGCCGCAAATGGATAGCGAAAGGAGTTAATGTCAAGTATGAAACAAGAAACAACAGGAATGGGTACAAGGCCGGTGCCCTTAAAGAAGGCCTAAGGAAGGATTATGTCGAGGATTGCGAATTTGTTGTAATATTTGATGCTGATTTTCAGCCAGATGGTGATTTCCTGTGGAGGACTATCCCTTACCTACTCGAGAACCCAGAGTTGGCCTTGGTTCAGGCTAGGTGGAAATTTGGTAAGGCCGAGTTAACTAAGCCATAAAACACTAGAAGTTCATCAAATATTAGAAAAGCTTCTTAGTCATAAAGACCATTATCTAACAACAACGAAGCTGGATGGTTTCGGATAAAGCGATGAAACAGATAGAAAAGGATAATGAAAAGGAAGAAGATGATACAAATTACAGCTTCACATGGTTTAAGAACTTGTTTTCAAATAACTAAATGAGATTTCAAATTTTGCAGTGAATGCCGATGAATGTTTGATGACTCGACTCCAAGAGATGTCTCTTCACTATCACTTTGGTGTCGAGCAGGAAGTTGGCTCCTCGACGTGCTCATTCTTTGGCTTCAATGGTTTGTCACTAGTCAACAACTCACACCCGAGTTTAGTGGACTTCAATTCTAGACATACAAACAAAGAATAACATGATTATGAATTATTGGAATTTTAGGAACTGCTGGTGTTTGGCGTATCAAAGCACTGCATGACGCTGGCGGCTGGAAAGACAGGACAACAGTGGAGGACATGGACCTGGCAGTTAGAGCAAGCCTCAAGGGCTGGAAATTCCTTTTTGTTGGTGACCTAGAGGTCAGTTTCGAAACACTTAATTCATATTATCACTAACTAAGCTAAATGACAGAAAAAATTTACAAAACTTGAACCCAATCACCTCACTCTCAGGTGAAAAATGAACTACCAAGCACATTCAAAGCATACCGGTACCAACAGCACCGCTGGTCATGCGGGCCTGCTAACCTCTTCAGAAAAATGTTTAAAGAAATTATCATGTGTGAGGTGATGTATTTTAAGATTTTATTTTCGTCTCAGCTTTGTAATTTTAACTTAACATGAAAATCACACAATATCTTTCTTATTTGATGCAGCGTGTGTCGCTATGGAAGAAATGGCATGTAATATATGCATTCTTTTTCGTGCGGAAGATAATAGCACACTGGGTTACCTTTTTCTTTTATTGCATAATAATCCCAGCAACAATCTTGGTCCCAGAAGTCCATCTTCCAAGACCATTAGCTATATATCTTCCCGCATGCATCACCATTCTCAATGCGCTCTCGGTTATAAGGCACGAAGATCCAGCTGAGAAAATTAAATTCGTTAGTTTTCAATTTCATGTAAAATTGTGCTATGAAACTGATTGGGAGTGTTTGCACCTACTTTGTCCACAGGTCTACGCATCTGCTCGTCTTCTGGATACTGTTTGAGAACGTCATGTCTCTACACCGATCGAAGGCAGCGATCATAGGACTACTTGAGGCTAATCGAGTAAATGAGTGGGTTGTGACAGAGAAATTAGGAAACACAATGAAGCAAAAGCACAATTTAAGAGCATCCAAGAGGCCCCGATCGCGCATCAGAGATAGGTATAGTCTATATGCACAACAATCTTTTCATTTCATGTGAAGGCTTAATATATCATATGACACTCTAACATAAATAAAATTCTTTTTATCATGATATGCTCAAATCATCACCAACACTAACTCAAGCAAATTCATGTTATGAACAGGATTCACATCTTGGAGATTCTAGTAGGGATGTACTTGCTTCATTGTGCGATCTATAATATGCTATTTGGATACAACCACTTTTTCATTTACTTATTACTACAGGCAGCGGCTTTCTTCATCATCGGGGTTGGGTATATAGGAACATTTGTACCCACATAACGAAGAGCGTGTATAGAGACCTATGAGCTCTAATCTAATTTCTTGATATATTATTGGATTGTTTTTCATTCTTCTTTCCATTATGATATATTGCCTAACCGTATAGGTAAAATCCATTTAATTATCAAAACATGTAATCATTTAAAAGTAATTTCTATATAGCTATTGCATTTGTTAGTAACAATTAAAGCTTTAGTGTATAAATATAGTTCTATTAAAATATATGACATTTGTGGCTCGCCAATAACAGTTCCCAATGCATTTGGTCCATAACCTGAAAAAAAAAAGAATTTATATATCCCGGCATCTGCAAGAAGATTAGAGAAGAAAATCATGAGGGATACAATAAATACTTATTGATAAAACTATAAGAATATGCATTCAATTACAGAGATGCTCCTTCCGAAATTTGGATAAGAATGAAACAAACAGAACATTTAATTTACGAGAAGATCAAATAAACTCTATTCCAACCTCTACATGAGAGAAATATTGACCATTTTAATGCATTTGAGACGGGTTTCGAGGTATAAGTTATACTGTTTAGTTTTATGAAGAACAGGACAATGGTCAAGGAGGCAATGCATGTTGCCAGTGTTTAAGGCTTTTGTGGCCTAACAATGACTATAAGGAATTAAAAGAAAAACTCAATTATTATTTCTCAAGTATCATGAATGGATTTTCCAAAATCCAGTCATTCTTCTGACAGTTTTTAAGTGGTCACTAAGTTCCAACACATCTTATGTTTAATGAAAAGAAAATGGCATCTTCTCGGACAATTAGAAAAACTCCAGGAACAGGACTCGAATCACTACTACAATAGGGGCACAGCAGGACCACACAACTTGCGACGAAATGTCGCTGCTAATAATTAAGAGCCACGACAGATCAACCAAAATGGCTGGGTATGAATAAATTAAACCCAATCAATATTTAGTACAGATATAGTTGCAGTTTATAAAAGCAATGGCAACAATAACTGAATTTTAGTCATCGTCAAAGACAACCAATTATCCCGGAACTGAAAAGGGTGAAACCAATTAAAGAAAGTTAAAACGTAGTTACTATTATCATTTCATCAAAAATACACAGATTCAAGTTTCATGGCCTATAAGACTAGTCGTATGTTAAATGAATACACATTAGAAACAGTATGGCTATGAAACAACTCAGTAAGTAGAAATACACAACACTTAGGGCAGTTTATTTACCAATATAACAGAACATGTGATTAAAATCACTGTTTCTCAATATGTACTTTCAACCAGATTAATTGATTTTGCTCCAAAATGTGTCACATCAACCCTCAGCTTGAAAAAATTTTTTGTTGGGTCACCAGACCGCACCACGAGATCAAGTCCTAAGCGACTGACTCCCTGAAAAATTACCAAACAATCTAGCTCAATTGCATGATTTTCAATATATTGTATCTGCATGAAAACGGACAAAAGTTAGCAAGATCAAGACGCAACACTTCCTTTATTGCTAACTATCCAAGTGGCGAAACATTAGAAGTATAACAATGCATTTAGTGAGATCTATGAAACATCATAATCATTTAAGATAAAATGTTGCCTTTGTGAATAATATCACATGATATCACGGACAAGTAATGGTGTGTACTGTTTCAAACAAGTGGCCCGTAAATGAGAATACGCCATATATTTGATTACATGACACGAAAAAAAAATAACGATAAAAACTATAAACTGTGCGACTAAACCAAACCCGTCAGGTTGATTAGGAGGCAAACCTAGTCCAAGTTTTAATTATAATATAACATGTTTAGAATTATTTCTATGTATTGATTTATTACTTAAGACAACAATATTAAGACAATAGAGTTCATATATAAATGATAAATTTTGTATTTCTCTTAAATAACAAGTTCATGTGCAGGAAAATAACTACAGATATGATGTTAACTTTTTAGAATCTTAGGCTGTTGAAACAATGATCCAACAGCTAACCCATTGACTAGGTGTCCAGTCGTGTCATGGTGTGGCCTAGTTTGAAAACATTGATAACATGATACTTACAACAGTATCATTTAAACACGGCCTATGAATATTGGAAAACAAAATGGTGCTTAATTCATGCAATCTAGAACTTATAAGTTGTCTAATTTGAAATTATAGAAAACGTTCGCAAATTTTGGGAACTATTGACGTCACAACCTGTCGCAAATCAACATAAAAAACAAACAATAACATAAACACTATATATTTCAAAATCACAGCCAAATTAACACAACTCAAACTAAATCAAATGACCAGGATTCAGTCAACGAAATTCCACAAGCAATTCAAAAAACCACAACACATGCACAGCCAGAATTAACCTCACCGTGGGTCGAGAGACAGAGCTGAGCGTCGAACACGGTCCAGTACACGCATACCCTATGATCCTGTCAAACAAACAACAGAATTAGCCGCAAATTTCACATCAAAAGGCCATCGGAGCTGAAATAGAACTCCATTACTAACATCAAGCACCAGCACAGAAGAATTCCAGCTACAATCGAGATCCCCAATCGATGAATCACAGTTCTACAGTCCACAATCAATAAAATACCCGTGCATTTTAAAAAATAAAAAAGAAAACGAATCAGTACGAATAACTTCTTCCCTACCGATGAATCAGTACGAATAACTTCTTCCCTACCGCGCAAATTTCCGGCGAAAGCGCCGCTGTTTCTCGTACCGGAGCGCCACCTCCTCCTCCTCCTCCTTCTCCTCCTCCTCCTCCTTCTCCTCCTCCTCCCTCTCTCTCTCTCTCTCTCTCTCTCCGTCTCTCCTGTGCTTTATCCGTTTGTTTTTGTACGCATAAAGGCGTGAGGTTCGAGCTGAGCATAAATGCAGAGTAGTTGGTTCAGTCCCTTGGGATTCGGGAAAGGGTGCGACATTTGCGGGGGAAAATTTTTGGCGGAATTTTCGTTTAGGCCCCTACAATTTACCAACTATTCCGTATTAGAGCATCTCTAATAACCCTCCTACACAAACCTCCTTTATCTATTCCCAATATGCCACATCATCCAAAACCTCATTCTTACTCCTACACATATAAACCTCCAATAATAACAAACCTCATAAACCTCTTTTTTATGGGTCCTACATGTTTCTTACTTATTTTTATAATTAATATTATACTCTTTATTTTTAATTAATATTTTAAAACTATAACTTTAATTTTATTTTTATATAATCTAAATGTTTCACATATTTATCATAAATACGTACAATAGATTAATAGAAAAAGTAAAATGCATGAAAATAGTAATCAATAAATATAAATTAAATATCTTAAATTTAAAATAATTTTAATTTAGTTTTTCTAGATTTTAATTTTTATGAATGCAAAACCTCAACAATTTAAATCTCAATTATTTGTATATAATACATATATATTGGATTGAGAGAGCATAAAACGTAAAAAATAAGATAATTTATTTTGCAAAATAAATTGAGAGAAAGAAATTTGAACAAAATAAAACAAATAAAATGAAGTAAAAAAGGTGGGTGGAGACAAGATGTAAGACGTGCAAAGGTGGGCCAACCTTCAACTCACTTGACTTGTGAAGAGTGTTATACACGCGTGGCTTTGAATGATATGGAACAAAACTGTGTCTTGTACTCTCTTTATTTTGCTCATTTTTAAAATTTTTCTGTTTTATATTTATGGGGTTTGAGGGAGGTTTTTGTTTACAAACCTGGTTTGAAATTTTAAACCTCAGAGCTGTCTCATTTAACCATAAACCTCAAGGTTTGAATTTGTAAACCTCTGCTCAAACCCCTTATTAAAGTTGCTCTTAGTCCCTACAGGATATAGAAATTTTATTGAAGTGGGTGAGAATTTTTAACTATGTCAGTATAGCATCATATCATTATTCATTATTAAACGAGTTAAATCAGGTTTGAACTCTTTATACTCAATTACAAATCGAGCTTTTGTTGAGTCAGAGCTGTTACTTAACAAGCTCGTGCCCTAAGGAGTCCATATATGATAAAAAGTTTAAAAAATTATGTAGAAACATTTATTTATTAAGTTTAACGAACTTTAATGAGTCAAGTCGATCTCAGCTTGATCTAGACGAGTCTTAAACAAGTTAGAATCTTAATGAGGGGAGCCAAATTTGCAAATAACTCATTTTGTTTAACAATTTTAGCTACAACAATACTTTATTAGAAAAATCAAATATTGGGAACTAAACTGCAAAAGTTAGAATTATATTGATGAGTTTTGGGAGAGGAAATTAAATAGGAACAAATAAATATTTATTAGTTATATCAGAAGAGCTTTTTATCCAAACATAAGTTTTGATAAAAAATGTTGAATCACAAAACAAAAATATATATTCCAAAAGACCTTAACTTGAGGTCCAAACTCCAAAGCGAACCCATCCAAAACACTTGTAATTATATTGCTGAAATTTACAATTATAACTTATTCCCAATAGATCTCCAACAAAATCAATATATCTAACTTTGAATATTCTTTTAAAATTTTCCTCTCAATTTATGACATTTTTTTTTTTTTGCATTGAAATACACATATTTGTACTGTATTTTTTGCTTATGAATTTCATACTGGACAGACTGTGGGAGCCTATTGGGTATTGCGAAAGCCTTATTTTGTAAGGCCCACTTTTAATGCACCAATACAAAAACAATCGGGCCGAAAAGTTTTAACTCCACTGATCAATAAATACAAGCCCATATGTTATATATAGATTAGTGCATAGCTCGTGCAATGCACGGATAAACAATATTAAATAATAATTATAAATTAAAGAGTGAGTAAATAATATTAAATAATAATTATACATTAAAGAAGTGGGATTAACATGTGATTTAATTTACAAATGTAAAATTATATTGTCTAAGATAACATAAAACATGTATGTTTAAAATATTAAAAAACTTTTAATATTATATAACATATGTAAGATTATCTAAAATATTATATATTATTCTTAAAAAATCTGAATTCACCTAAAATTGTCTGAACTATTTTGTTACTAAAACATGCCTAAGGACATTTAAATTATATATATATATATAATTTATATATATATATATTTAACATATAAAATATAATATTAGTAATGTGCTTATAATTTAGTCCATAGAATATATAATATTAGTAATTGCACATTACTCCAAAAGAGTCCAAAATAAGAACAATTCTTTACCGTTCCAAAAGGTATGAATTTGAAATTATTTCAATTGCGAAATCAATTACGAATCTCCAGCAAATTTAAACCAAATAAGTCAAAAATATATATGAATCTGAAATGATTTCAATTTCGAAATGAATTATGAATCTCTGTAAAATTTAAACCAAATGAGTCAAACGTTTGAAAATGTGTGATATTTAAAATACCGTAGAAATTTTTTAATTTCAAATTGAACCAAATCATTCATCTTACAAGATTTATATCTAAAAAATGTATACATTGGTGTTTTTGAATTTTGAAATGCATACAATTTTATATATACCAGATTTTGAAGTCGATATTTTGTTTCTATCTAAAAAAAAATATGTGCATCCATGTTTTTAAAATTTGAAATACATACAATCGGTCCTAAATTTTAGAAAATATATATATTTTAAAAAAAAAACTTGTACATTAGTATTTTTGAATTTCGAAATGCATAAAATACAATTTCGTGTACACCTTATTTTGAAGTCGACATTTTGAAATTTTAAGTTGAACAAATTCCTTAATTTAAGGAATGGTTGAAAAATCCATCCAAAATCCTTAATTTTACCCAAACAATGTTTTTGAAAGAGTCTGTTGGAAAGAGCACACGGGTAGATTATAGTTTTGTTACTAAGATAAAGATGGAATGTTTTCTTTCAATCTTTAGGATTTAATTTTTTTTCCCTAAAAACATCAAAATACATTTAGGTAGAGGTCTCTCGAGTTCTATCATCTCTTCTTCTTTTCGCTTTTCTCCAGCTTTCCATTAGTAAAAATTTTAGTTAGGTCTTTGAGAAAATAATATGTTGAATTACAGTTGAATGATGCAGATGTGGACACAGACCAACAGGAATAGAAACATTGTATTGGAATAGAATAAGCTTAAATGTGGGAACTAACAACCAAGAATAGTAGAAAAAGAGAGAATTTGGGGCTGCAGTCAAAAGCCAAAAATGATAAATCTTAGTTCAAAAAGTCTTCATCTTGTACATAAAATACAACACATTGTGAATCATATTAGTAGTAACCTCAATTAAGTCTATAAAGCAAGAAACCATTATCAACACAACAATTTAACTTAAAAAGTGACAAACAAATCAAGAAAACCAACCAAATAAAGTGCATAGCATCGCAAGAACACTACTTTCTTGCCCGTGTGTTCCCTCAACACATGAGCATCCCTTCTATACTCCCTGCAGTCAAAGTAAGACTTGCCAGCAGATGAAAATCGCCATCCATCATATCATAATCGTACTCCTCGGGCCCCGACAGTTTGATAGCGGCGGCGGATGGAGGAGCTCCCCCTGCTAGAATCGAGTGTGCGATGGAGGGTGCTTTGAGGGGTCTTGCTCTATCCCCATTATCTGCTCCGCTGCCCTTCAAGCAGATAAATCTTGAAATCAGTATCGAGGAAAAATTAATGATTTTGTTCACGAATGTGGGTGACGTACGGTGGAGCATAGGCCACGGTCGCTGCGGTGGCGGACGGCGGAGCGGAGCTCAGTTCGGCAGGTTTCTCTGGAAGCCATTATTTTTTAAAGATTAATTCTCACACATTTACTTCTGTCGTCCTCTGGATTAGTTCGTTCTCTGAATTTGTTTTCTTCAATCTGCGTGAGAATTTTGGGAGTTAAAATTGAGATTGAATTGGAGGAGATCGAAGGGAGTGTTTTTGGGGTATTTCTACCGGCGACCGCGCCGTGATAGTAATTTCATTAATTTGAATTTACTTGACAATAAACTCCAGTAAGAGCCATCTCTAACAATACCCTTAGCAATAGGATTTTATATTTATGCCTTTATTTAATTTTTTGCCCAAAAAAATTTAAAATAATTTAGGCAGAAATTTGAAATTTAAATATAACAAATCCCATATTTTATGGTAGCATTAAATGCTACTTGATTTTCTTGTTAAAAAATTAAAAAAACACACTAAAAATGGAATGCAATTAATATTCTCTGATTTTTTTCTTACTATTTTTGGTAAATAGTAATTCTTATTATATATATATATAGATTATAGATAGGTTTACTAGGGGTCAAAAACAAACATACGGTTTCACATAAATTGGAAGATATATTTCACCATTTATCNCCACCACAACTCGAACCAACACCCAAGGCGAAGACCCAAGAAGGCTCAGCCCACGACCCACTCTGGTATATAAGCTCCTACGATTAACTAGATCTGGATCAACAGACAGAAACCCTCCCAAATGGTCACCATTGAGTCAGCAACTGAAAACCCGCACCCAAATCCACCACCAACACACCCTAGGTGACCAAAGCCGTCAGTTGCCTCTGTCGGAGGATCACGCCCATCCAACCCTAAGGAAGGCGAGGAATAGAGGAAAAACAAAGCACACCAGTAGTCAACATCCGCCACCCCAAAGTTGCCGACGAAACAATAAACCTTGGTTCCTGCCACGGCAACCGGTAAAAAAGAGACACCTACGCGGGAAGGAACATATGTCCTACTAGGAAAATCGGCAAAGCCAAGATGTCGGCCCAGGCACCAGGCGGCGCCACGGAATTTCCACGCTCCGCTGATGGAGAGGCGCAGTGAATGGATAGAAGAGAGGGTTTCGAGAGAGAAAACGACTTGAGGAAAGTTAGAGAGAGAAAAACTGGAAAAGTCTAATTTTTTCCACGTTATGGAATAAAATATGTGAAGTTTTCTTCGCACAAAATTGTCATGCTCATTCGAAAGAGTATACTGGAGTCGGCTACTCTTTGCACGGGTTACATGCATAACTCGACATTATAGGACTAGGGCTTTGTGAAGAAATCTTTGCCTCAGAGTTGAAAGAAGGACTTTGTTGACAAATCTATTGGTTACATCTTGCTTACTTGCCCATATACCAAGTATGGGCATCGTCAAGCTATTTTACAACTTATACGGATGGAAAATAATCATAGCTTTGAAAATCGAATTAGACTGACTAGTTCAATCGATTCAATTGGGAACTAACTTTTAAGTCGATTTAGTATTGTGAAAAAAACCGTTAAAAAAAACGATAATAAAACGAGTTGAACTTATAAACTGTACCACTTTTTGGTGGGATGGTGGTTAATCAAAATCGAATTTTGAAGCTCGGGATTTAACAATCGCCGTCTTGAATGAACGATAAATGAATAATGTTGTTAATAACAAAAATAATATCAATTGAGTTCCAAATAATTTTATAAATAATGTAGTGTTATATTGTCATTATTTGGAAAAAAATACCATAGTTCATAGTTTGGCTACATATCACCAAAGTAATTTTGTGTCTTTTTTTTTATGTATATATTCTTTTCAAAAAAT